TGAATGTCCTAATTAACTAATTATTATAACACAATTGAATAAGCTAATTAATTAAATATTACAAATTCGAATGAAATCAAAGCAACTAATTAATTATAACATATGAATCTAAAAGCTACTAATCTAATGGATTCGAACGAGAGGCGAGGAACCGCATGCGCACAATTGAAAACACCCTCCGGAAACCTCTCTGTTTACTACCAAAACCTGCTTTGTTTACAATCCGAAAATTGTTCTGTTTTGGCCTCAGGATCTGCTTTGTTTTGTTGTAAAAATACCACTGCTTGTGCACAAATTGGTGGCCGGTCGGCCTAAGAGAGTGGTTGGTCATACAAAATGATGGTCGGCTGGCCACTGTTTCTGGGGAATACCCTGCTGCAACAGAGAAAAAAATAATGCTTTCATGAGATGTTTATCCTCTCTGCCCTTCCTTAACATGAAAATGATCAAGGGTGGGGTAGATTTGATTCTCAACTTATCAATTATCATAAATTTGTTATGTGATGATCTTAGAAATGGCAGGACAAGAGCTCAATAAATGAAACAAAAGATAGACAATACATCCTCTCTATCATGGAGTTACCTCAAGGGAGGGAGTAGACTTGCTTCATGAATCATCTAACATCACTGAAATAGTATGCCATGATTCAAGATGCAATAAGTTCAATATAACGTCTGACTGAACCTAACCGAATTTTATTTTCTTTTTACCCATTTTTACTTCAATTTTATTAGCCATTTTTACTTTAACTTTCCATTTTCTTATCTTTTCTTTCTTTTTGTCGAAAGATGATGATTATGTCCACTGAGTCCAAGCAATAAAGAATAACAAGGATGACCTAATCCAAGAAATGTGCTCTTCAAGCCCTTTTGTATGAGGGAAACTACAAAGGAAGAATCAAACTCATTTATGATCAATAATGAATTTGGAGTAAAACTTGAAATGAGCGATAATGACTCCAAATCCAAACCCGATAATAAGCTATAATGACTCTTTCTTTTGTGATTTCCAAGGGTCTAACTAGGAAATTAGTCCCTTAGAAGTAAGGCACCGGCGATAAAGAGAAGTATCAAACAAAGATCATGCTTAGCATAAGAGAGATGTAATGCCCTAGTAATGAACCTCCGAAGAGATTAAACCATTTAGCATGAGAGGTCTCTTTCTTATTCCTTGAATGACAATCTTTTGTTTGATACAACTCTTAATCAAAAGAAACAAAGAAATGAGGGAGGTTGCAGATTATGAATGAAAGGGTGGATGATACAATGGCATGAATATGTATATGAAAGCTATAAAAAAAGAAAGAAAAGACTATCAACTTAAATGGATTGCAAGCTATGGCTTATACACCAAATCCATGAGGACTTACAACAACAGAAGTGTAATATTCAAAGCATAAACTAAATAAACACATTAAAGAACCCTAAACTCCAAAAAATAATGGCCAAAATCAAAAGAAACAAAGTGGAAAAAAGCAAAGCAACAAGCTATAGAACAAGGCCTAAGGAAGGGTGGTTAACCCCTCATCTTTTTGTGACTTTAAATCACATTTTTAAGCTTAAAATAACTCTGAAATCAATATGAAAATATAAAAAAAAGGGGGAGAAAAGATGGTTAAAGAGTTCAAAGATTACCCCTTTAAAGAGAGGAATAGCTTCCTAGTTAATAAACCACAAGCTTAACATTCTCTAGTGGCTGAAATTATCTTCAAGAACCTCAGCAAAAGCCTCAAGTTTAAGCTTAGAAGGTGTATGTATAGTGTATGTGTAGCTTGCTTTTCATGCTCTTTTCGGATACGATAGCCCTACAGTTCGGACTCCCGTGGTTCTGAATTTGATTCTATAAGTGCAATGCGAAATAGATAAATACAAATAAGTTCAAATCCGACAATTCTTTTAGAAAATCGATTTTGAATAAAAAATGCCAAAAATGGACAGCTTTGCTAGATTTCAGAGTCACCACCTAAATATTTTTGGGAAATTTAGGAAATCCATGACTCGTGCCAAAGGCCACGTATCCGTCATCACCAAAATGTCTCGGCTTGGGAACTTAGGTATGAGAGGGGAATGTCATGAATTGAGAACCCCACTCATCCGATCAAAGATTGGCCTCTACTAATCATGATGTGATTCTTATTTACATTATATGCACTTGTTCCGATTATTTAGGCTATATTACTACGTGACGCACACAAGTATAGATTAATTTGCAAAAGTTGGAACACTTTATTTTCATGTTTGTTTGAAAATTGTTTTGAATATGTACTACTTGAAAAAGTGATCTCATATGCACAATTAAACAAATCATCCCAACTTAAGCAATTAGCCTTCATCCATAGGCATTCAAAGCAAGTTTATCACTTAAGCACTTAGCCTCATGGAAAACATGATTGATATGGCAATAATCACACACATGTGATATGCTAAAGCAATAAGTGCTCACCTCGTACTCCAAGACAAGCCAAAATAAACAAAAGAGTTAGAAAAAATGCATGATCCTAACGATACAAGATGGCTAATGTAACACGTACAAAAATACAGCTAGTAGGTCCGGTTTCTAATATGTCATGTGAATCACTTTGATAGCATGCGGTAAAGCATGTATTCAAGGAAGGAATAAATGACAATGCGGTTAGAATAATGAACCGAACCTTATGCATTCAAGACAAACGGATGCAACTCATGAAAAATGCTAAAAGAAACATGATGCTCTACGATATCCATCATAAGCAAGTAAATAAAAGAGAGAAAGAAATGAGGGTTGGGAGACATACACATTATTACATTTTGCCCTTGCGTAGGAGGGTCCGAATGAATGTCCTAGCTATTTAAGGTAATTATTACAACACCACAAATTAACTAACTATTCTAGCTAATTAATTAAGTACAACACCAAAATTAACTAGTTATTCTAGTTAATTAATTACAAATTAGAATTAAACTAACTAATTAGTTACAAGTCCACTACTTTAAGTATGACATACTACTATTAAACATAATTTAACGGGTCCGAGAAATGAGGGATAACTCATGCACGAATGCGGATTTCCACCCGAAAATGCCCTCTGTTTGGCTGTCAAAATGCTTTTGTTGCATAGTTAAAAAATTGAACTGTTTTTGCCTCAGTCTCTGCTCTGTTTTGCAAGGAACACTACAAGAAATGTTCGTTTTAACGGCGTTTATATAATGGCGTTTTCTTAAACGTCGCCTTTTTTTAATATTTAACGGCGTTTTATAAACATCGCCTTTTGTGCTAATCAAAACGGCACCGTTTAGCTGACAGAAAACGCCTCTGAATGTGTTATTTGTGTTATAATCTCTCACACCCTCTCTCTCCCGCTTTGAGACTCTCATTCTTTACTCAGTCTCAGAAAGAAGATGCCTCAAGTCTCTCGCTCACTCTCTCGCTTCAGCCCGGTGATCCCTTAAATCTCAGAGTGATTTCAGAATAGGAATCGATTGGAATCATCTCGGTGATTTAATTTATTTACCTATTCCATTTACATAGAAATCATTTAGAGGTAAACCTATCTACATCAAGCTTCAGAATCGATTTCATTTATTGAGAGGTAAACCTATCTGCATCAAGTCGATCTGCATCAAGCTCAGTGATTTTGATTTCGATTTCATTTTTTTTTCTCTCTCGCTTATTTTCACTCTTCTCTATCACCAGACTCATCTCTCTCTCTCTCTCTCTCCTCTGCCGATCTCATCCACACTCACCGCCGCTGCTGTCTTCTCATTATCGCCTCAGATCGACAGCTACAGTGGTGGAAGAGGATGGCGGTGGTGGTGCTCGTTGAAGAAAAGAACAAGAGACGTATATTTATGTCGTGGATTTAGGATTTTATATATTTTACATATGTATATGTGTGTGTAGCAATTTTATATATTCTTTCAATTCCATTTGATGAATTATGGAATAACTTATTTTGTATTTTGTATTTTTTTTTCTCCTCATTCTACAGGTTTTGTATGTTTGTATGGACAAATTTATTATTATTGCAAATTTATATTACTAACATATCAACAATTAGTATTTTTTTATTTTAAAAATTAATTAAGTTAGTTTAAATAATTAGCTAAAATAAATAGTGTGATTGGAGAATACAATAGCTAAAGTAATTAGGTAAAATAAAGAGTACTTTTTTTATACTTTAACTAGTGAAAAATAGAAAGTATGGTTGGAATTGCTCTTAGGGTTAATGGAAAAGATAGGGGTATTTGAGAAATTTGATGGTGTGAATTGAGAAAAAGATAAAAAAGTAAACTTATGTGTGGTGTGTATTACGTAATGGTGTGAGATGAGATAATTAGTGGTGTGTAAACAGAGGGTCTCATACCTCACACGGGAAAAAAAAAATTACTTATAGAACCTAACGCCACAATCAATTCTCAGATTAGATTTGTAACCAATTTTTTTTTATTGTTTAATATACTTATGTACAATGATTTAGCTATTAATAAAAGAATCAGAATTTTATTGTGAATTTGGAGTATATCAAAACGAAGGGTGGAAGGCAAGCACTGGTGTAACCGAACCCGATCACATATTGCCCCTGATGTAGCCCCTTCTGAGCCAGTAGAACAAGGAAAGTGGGCTAACTTGCCTCCGGAATTGCTTTTGGATATAATTCGGAGGGTTGAAGAGAGCGAAACAACCTAGCCTGCAAGGACCGATGTTGTCTTTTGTGCATCAGTTTGCAAATCATGGAGGGATACTACAAAGGAGATTGTCAAGACTCCAGAGGAATGTGGGAGACTGACCTTTCCCATTTCATTGAAACAGGTGACTTTTGTTCATATGTTTGTTATTATTCTTATTTCATTGTTATGATTATATTGTTCTAACTGAGCAATTTTGCTTCTTATTTCTATGTAGCCTGGGCCGAGGGATTCTCCTATTCAGTGCTTTATTAAAAGGGACAGAACAACTTCCATATATTGTCTGTACTTTGGTCTGATGCCTTATATGTCAGTTATTCCCGCTTATGTCATCCTTACTTGACACTTCAAGTTTTTCTTGATTCACCTAAATTAAGGACCTATAGATTTTTGAACTTATGCTTATGTCATCGTTACTCGACATAAGTTTTTCTTGATTCCTTGCTCATGGGCACATAAACTTATGGATTCTTTTGTTACTTTCCGGGTTGTGACCATGGATGTCACTTTTTTCCCTTTATAAGACGTTTGCTACAGTAAAACGGAGCCAATAGATACGTAGTTTTGCTCCTCTAGCATAAATGTAATGCTAGAAATTCTTGTTTAGTTGTGGCTTTTGTTTAGTTCACCTTTTTTCCCTGACCAACTCTTGTTTAGTTGTGGCTTTTGTTTTGATCTTTTACATTGTCCGAGGACTCCTTGTCCCGTCTCCTTTTCTAGCTTTTGCTTAATAAAATTCTTCGTCACTTTTCAAAAAAAAAAAAGAAAAAGAAGGAAGAAAAATGCAAGAAATTCCGTTTCATTCTTATTTACTTCTTCATCCATTTTTTTTTGTGAAAGATGACACATTTTTCATGTAAATCTGGTTCTCCCAGTTAATCTTTAGGTCTTCCTTTGCTGTAGTTATTTGGTTTTTGTCTTGCTGTCCTTGTAGTATAAGAGTTACAAGCTATTTCACTGCGGATATAACTCATTTCCTTTGTATTGTATCATTTGCATATCATTAGTTAAAGCTCCATTTGGCGGTGTGTGGCTTCCAATAAAATGCTTCAATTAAGAATTTGTAAAGAAGAGATTGTTGCAAAAATCTTTGGTACTTTTTTGTTTCTGCACGTTGATAAAAGATTTCATTTCCTCTTTTTTTTCCAAAGCAACTGAATTGCTAACCAAACCAAACTAAGTCTTGTATCCCAATCAATTGGGTCGGCTACATGAACCTTTTTCGCCATGCAGCTCTGTTAAGGGTTATATGCTTAATTAAATTAAATAAATTTATATCTTTCGTTAATATCACGTCTCATGTTAGTTTAGATCTTCCACTCTCTCAAACATTTCCATTTAGTTGTTACTTCGCTGATTAGTGCTGTTTTGGTGAATCACCTCTAAAAGACTTTTAAAAATAAAGCCAAAACACTGTAAAGCATTCTTAAGGACTGCAAAAAATCTTCTAATGTAAATGTACCACAGCATCAAATGGAGCCAAAGAAATTTATTATGACCGCGCCAACAGAGAAACGGATTTCGGATAGAAGGAAATGATTCTGAGTCATTTTTCTTCTTGGTTAGCTATGAGTCATTTTTTACTTTGCTTCCTAAAAAAAAAAAAAATTATTTTCTTATTGTTTGCATGATTTGTGCTGAATGGAGATTTCAGACTGAAGGAAAGTTTAGGACATGAGCCTTCTGAGGAGCAACTTGCAACTTCCCTGAAGATTTCTTGTGCTGAGTTACAATTGAAACTCATAGAGTGCGCTTTGGCAAGAGAAAAGCTAGCAATGAGTAATGTCCGTCTGGTCATGTCTATTGCACGAAGATATGACAACATGGGTGCTGAAATGGCTGACCTTATTCAGGTGATTGTCTTTCTGTTAGCTTTAAGCTTTGAGATGCCAATATCTTACACTTGCTCTAATCTGTTTAATATAGAGCTGTGGATTCCTCATATACGTGAAATTGCCCTTACACCTCATGTAGGGTGGCCTGATTGGACTGCTCTGGGGAATTGAGAAATTTGATTCTAGAAGCAATGAAACGGGTAATGCTTGGGACTTTGTGGTCTGGTTTGACCAATTGATATTTTTTATAATTCCAAAATCTTATGCAGAAATAATAATTTTTCTGTCCCTGTATATGTGCGGAATGTATGGTATGAATTGGCTCAAAATGCAAAGTTTAGTTTGCTTATTCCTCCATGGCTTCTGGTTAGTTCAAGTGTTCTTTGCATAGTTTTTGTAGTACTTGGACTCTAGGTATTAAACACACTGTTATGCACATTCCCATAGCGTTAGTATTCTTTTTCATATATGAATTGTAGAGACTGTTGGTCACTGCTGCATCAACAAATTTTTGGGATGATGCTCTTCAATCTTTTTGTTCTTTTAGCATTCTAAATTATACATTCTGTTATTAAGCTTATATTAACTATCTTATGCATTTGATATGCTTTGCAGTCCTGCAATTCTTAGGTATCTTGCTTGTGCATTTCCTGGAGTAGCTGATCACTGGTGAGAATTGTTGCTTCTTTTTTGCAATTAGTTTGCCTATAAGGACCTGTGCTATAGCATTGAAATGACAATTCTAGTTGGGCCAAATGGTTCTATTGAAATGACAATTCTAGAGGCTTAAATTTGTTCACTTTAATTTGCACAAATTCCTCCCAGAAATCTGATATAGAGATTCCTTCTGAGAATTTACTTTCTTGCCTGTATGAATATGTATAAATGTTTATAATTTCAACTTTTTTTTTTTAAACTTTTCTAAAGGTACTCTTTGTTTCTGAAACTGTGCGGTGGTTGAACCATGCGGTTGAAAAGATTTGGCCTGTTTGTATGGAGCCCATTGTTTCACAGAAAATTCTCCTCCCTATCATACCTTGGTTCTTGGAGAAGTACAAACCATGGACTGTGGTACGAGTCTACCCTCCTAAATACGATTAATTGCTGTCTTTGAGTGAAACCTATTTTCACTCATGGGCTTGATGTTACAGAACTTCCAGGGATTGCTGGATGGTTGGTAAGTTATTGTCATGTTTCATGTGCAACGATTACTTCGACACGTCTTGTGGGCAAATTCTCAAAACTACTAGCCCAAAAAGATAATTAAGGAAGATTTTTTTTTTTCTTTTTCTTTTTCTTTTTTATATTCACTTCTAAAGTGGACAACAGCCTTGAATGCCCCCAAAGAGAGGAAGACTCTTAATGAGTTGAAGTGCTATATTTAGAACATCTAATAAAATGACAACTTCAGAACATAGAAACTTTTATATAAACACCAGAAAACAAACTCTTTTAACTCCGCAAGTGACTCAACTAATCCTAACCAAGAATAGGAAATAACAAATGTTACTATTGTATCTTCTTGATTTTCATGTGTTACAATCTTCTTTTTTGATGCATAGTGATTAAGAATATTTCTTGCTACCATATTATAATCATTCTGATTTTCTTGTCCTTTGATGGCAATGAAAGTGAGCGGACACAGGAGTTACTGACTAGTGCTGCATATGTTCATTTGAATCACCTTGATGTTTCCAAGTACACCTGAAATCTTTCGTCTGCAAGTAGGGCTATATTGCTCTCAGGGCCTGCCGGTATGTTATCTGGTCTTGCGTTGAGACTATTATGTCTTCTAATTTATTTTCATGGCCTAATATATATTCTTATTTTGTTTGTATCTATTTTGAAGAACTTTACCAGCAAATGCTTGCAAAAGCTCTTGCACATCACTTTGAAGCAAAGTTGTTATTATTAGATGTTACTGACTTTTCTCTAAAGGTAAGTGCGTAAAATGTCAATTTTCTTTAATTTAAAAACTTGTTATTTGTCGTTCTAATGTTTTCGTATTGTGCCATCCCTGTGTTCTGTTGTTTTACTGTCAGGATTTATATCAAATCTATGGTTCATTTCCATTGTTATAAGATTTTGTAAGTTGCTTTTAAATGTGTAATTTATTAATTTATCTTGTTCTTTCAGTGCAAAATGTGTTCTAAGACTTATGGAGACTACGTAATTAAATGTTATGAGAATCCAATAGCTCTCTCTCTCTCTCTCTCTCTCCTGATGTTTGTAAATTGGTTGAAGAGGTATTCATGATTTTAAGGCTTGGTATCTAGGCAGCATGCATTTACAAGGGTTCTTACGTTCTTAGGCAGAGGAAATGCCCTTTTAGTGGAATTCTGCATATATGAAAAACAATTACGACTTTCAGAACTAGCATTTAAAAACAGTAGAATAGTTTGAAAAAGTTGAGATCAAGTACCCATGAATGTTATATGCCTTTGGATCTCATTCCATCAATACTATCAGTATAAGTAAACAGAAGACAATTCTATAGCTTATCTCATTGCTGTTGAATTTGCTTCAATATGGAAGGGTATGGGTTCTACAGTGGATCTATATTTCAGAAGGGAACTTCCATTAAGGTGGTTGTACTTGGAAGAATTGCTTGTGCAAATAGCAACTCCCCTAGTATTTTGGATTTTGTTCAGACCAAAAATTGTTGTAAACACCCGATAGTTATCATGACAAGATTTTATTGACAATTTCACATAGTAAAGAATGGGAGAGCACAGGTAACCTGTCCATCAACTTAGTTTTTCTTTTTTTCATCCTTTTCTTTAAGAGTATGTCCAAATCACTAATTTAATGCAACCACCAATGAGTTAACTGAATAGTCTTTATGATGTTATTGACCATCCATATAAACAGCATTGTTTGGTGCTTTTTGCCTCTTATGTGCTATACAAATTCTTATACCAGTTTCACATTTTACCCTATGCACAAGTCTCCCTTGTGTCATAAGCGTCACTAAAGGAATTAGCGGCGTTTTTCATACATATAGCGGCGTTTTTAAAACGCCGCTAAAAGTCATTTTTCCAGCAGTGTAACCACCTAATTCACAGCAATCAAATCCTTTGAGTGCTCTTTCTACAGAACAAATTCAACAGCTGACCCATGCTCTTTCTACACTTCTTCCCGGGCAATGGCAACATCTATGCAAATGTCGCGGGTCTGACTCTTCTTTCCAATATTTCAATAAACTCTGCATATACTAAGCCATGGATTTTGGATAGCAAAGCCACCGTGCATATTTCATCCGATCCCATATCTTTCACTACCACTGCCCAACCTTCCATACCCATTGTTAAGTTACCCACTGGCTCTTCTACCCCAATCACATGTACTGGCACTATCCCCTTTAACTCTGACATCATGTTAACCAACGTTCTATGTGTCCCATCTTTTAATTTAAATCTTATGTCCACCAGCAAAATCACTAATTCCCATAATTGTTGTGCCATTTTCTTTCCCACCTTTTGCGTTTTGCAAAACTTGGCTTTGGGGAAGATGATTGGTTCGGATAAACGACATGGTGGTCTCTATTATATGTCGCCTTTGCAAAGGACTCATGTCTCCCATCAAGTTTCTCACACGTCCGCTTTGTGGCATCTGCGCCTTGGACACCCTTCACCATCTCGCCTCAAACTTGCAGCTCCTTCACTATGTTCTAGCAATATTTCTTGTAATGATCATTGTCATATCTGTCCTCTGGCCAAACAGACTAGATTACCATTTCCCATCAGCTGAATAACAACTGAAGCACCTTTTGCTCTATTACATTGTGATCTTTAGGGTCCATACAGAATTCCTACACATTCTGGGGCACGTTTCTTTCTTACTATTATGGATGATTTTAGTAGATGTACATGGGTATTTTTAATGGCCCACAAATCTGAGACTCAACATCTTTTACAATCCTTTATCATTTTTTCTAAAACTCAATTCCAGGCCACAATTAAAACTATTCGAGTTGATAATGGATCTGAAATACTTTCCATGCGAAGTTTCTTTCAAAACACTGGTATTGAACTTCAGGGCACTTGCATCATCACCCCACAACAGAACGGGGTCGTTGAACGTAAACACCATCATATTCTCATAGTCGTGCGTACCCTGCATTTTTAGTCTAACGTCCCTATACCCTTCTAGGGTGATTGTGTCCTTACTACTGTCTATCTTATCAACCGTCTTCCTTCACCCTTACTTTCCAACAAATCCCCTTTCGCAATCCTCTACAAATGTCCACATTCCCTTGCTCTTTTACGTGTTTTTTAGAGCCTTTGTTACGCCACTAATATTCATCCCCCCAATAAGTTTGCTCCCCGCGCCCACCGGTGCATTTTTGTTGGCTATCCAGCAACTCAGAAGGGTTATAAACTTTACAATTTGGACACCAACAAATTTTTGGTTAGTCGTGAAGTCAAATTTCATGAATCCATTTTTCCTTTCTCCCAACCTTCGCACCCTACCCCCTCTCTCCTCCTACACCTGTTGCCCCTCACTCTGGACCTGTCTCTCTCTTACGGCTGGGCTGTTGAGCTTTTAGTTATCTATCTTTGCTAATATGTTTATCATCTTGTGTGTTAAAGCTATTTTGTGTTTCTTTGTGTTGTCTTTAGGAACAACAAAAAGGAAGGAATTGCATGGGACAACCTGTGTCCATGCACTCTCTGGAACATGGGGATTAAAACCCGATGGCACTGTTTTTCAAGCTTATAGAATACATTTTACTTGTAATATACCTGGTGTGCATTACTCTAGTTTTGTTCTTTTGATTGACTCAAAGCTAGATGATAATGTGGGAAGTTGTTTAATGGGATATTTGGGAAATTGTTTGTTCGATTGAAATCATCAAGAGGAGGAAGAAAATTTCTACTGCAAGGGGAATCGTTATGGAAACCATCAAACATGTAATGTTTATTTAGTCAATATATTGAAGTAGCATAAATTGTTTGTTCACCGGGCTCTCTGCATTCCTTTGTGTTGACTGGGATTTGGGAATGTATCCTGCTCAAAATTGTCTTTTGTTGTACATGAACCTATTATGATTAATTGAATACGAATCCCTATTCTGCAGTGTAATGATGTGTAATATGCTTGACTATTCCATTGCATCTGCATGTGCAAGCAAATGACTTAACCTATTTTTTCTTTTTATTTTTTGATTGTGTTTGTTGTTTGATTTTGGTTCAGACACAATCATGTAATGTTTATTTAGTCAATATATTGAAGTAGCTGTAAAATTTTATTCATATTATTGTTATTTTTCAGCTTTATTACAGGTATGTTTTTTAGTTAAATATAACAGATTCAGAACAAATTTTTTTTTTAAAAAAAGAGCTATAACGGCGTTTTTTCAAAACGTCACTACAGTGCCAACGGACATTTTTTTCAAATAAAAAAATCTATCACGGCGTTTTAAAAACGTTGCTAAATATTGGATGACGTCATTTTTCATTATTTATGGCATTTAGCGGCGTTTTTAAAAACGCCGCCTATACTAATTTTACGACGTTTTTAAAGCGTCATAAACTTATAGCGACGGCTGCGTCCTCGACGTTTGGCGATAAGCGTCACTAAAGGAATTAGCGGCGTTTTTCATAC